CAATGATCCATCTGCAATTGATAGGAATTCAACAAGCTGGAGTTCTTTTGATGTGAGATGCAGTTGAAGAATATGTGGGCATCAAAGAAACGTTATTATGGCACTGTTTTTTTGGTACTGGCGGACAAACACCATTTGAAATATGAGAGTAATGTTATGCCCCAATAATCGGCAAAGTTAAAAGAAGAAAGCAAAAGAAAGAAGTGACAAGAAGAAGACATTTAAAGAAAGAAGCTACAGAAGAAGAAAAGCGAGAAAGAAAAGAAGCAGCAGAAAGAATATCATGGTGTAGGTGCAGGCCCAGAGAGAGAGAGAGAGGAAATATGGATAATCTCCTCAAGTGAATTGACTCTGTTTCAACTTTAAGTTTCTAGTTTAGGTTTAATTAGGAAAAGAGATGTTATTGAGAATAAGATTTTGGAATAAAGTAGAATAAAAATTTTATGAAGTTAATTAAGGAATATGATCAGTTAAAGATCCTTAAAATTAGGAATTTAATATTTATGATACTTAGCGTTATCAGGTGTTTGGCTACAAGGTAAAAGCTTCTGGTAACAGGGAGCTGCTGCTATGACACCCCTACGACTTACCTAAGAATTGTAGACAAGGGTTTAGAGTACTTAACTCAGAGGTCGAGGATTCTCTATAACAAGCTCTGATCTCGATTCCCACATATTTCATCCAACATGATCCCTAAACTGAGACCATAACTGAAGTTTGGGAAATTTTGAAGTACTTTGTTTTTATCCTTCTATGACTTGAATCATGTACATCATAAATGTACAGTAAGATTGGTTTTACTTAAAAAAAAAAACAAATGTATGGTAAGATTGAGCTTGATTCAAATTTAAATTTTATGGAATAGGAAGAGGAAGAGAATATAAATAGAATAAAAAGAACATTCTAATTTCAATTCAGGTTTGGTGCTTCTATGATTTCGTTACAAGTGGAAATACAAATTTATCATTATAGAATCGAATATATGAGAAAAACTGATTACATTGTGTATCAAATATGTAAATTATGACTAATTTCTACATATTAAGTCATTGAGATGTAGGAGCTGAACGAGGATAAGGTACATTTGAGCCAAATGCAATATAAGAGTTGGTTAATTTCTAGGAACGACTAACAACCATGTTTAAGATCATTAATAAAAAATACATCTACTAATCAGCTGATCAATTGCCTGTAGAGTAGCTAAATATAAATTTTCTGGCTTCCTTGCAAATTAGTGAATATTTTGTGTACTTTTGACTTGTATATATTTGGCTTGTTTCCAATATTTATTTATTTATTTGTTTTTTGGTTCCATTTTTCAATGTTGTTTTAGATGATGGGCCTGGATCACTTCGAGATGGTTGTCGTAGAAAAGAACCACTTTGGATCGTTTTTGAAGTTTCAGGGACCATTCATCTCTCATCTTACTTGAGCGTGTCATCATATAAGACCATTGATGGTCGTGGCCAAAGAATAAAATTCACTGGTAAAGGTTTAAGACTGAAGGAATGTGAACATGTCATCGTATGTAATCTTGAGTTTGAAAGTGGTAGAGGACCTGATGTTGATGGCATTCAAATAAAACCCAACGCAAAGCATATATGGATAGATCGATGCAGCTTACGTGATTACGATGATGGTCTGATAGATATCACTAGAGAAAGCACAGACATCACTATTTCGAGGTGAGGTCAATTGTTTGTTTTCGGAAACTACTGTCATTTAAAATGATAAAGGAAGTCTTTTTCAGGTGTCATTTCTCACAACATGACAAGATCATGCTTGTTGGAGCAGATCCTTCTCATGTTGGTGATAGATGCATACGTTTGACAATTCACCATTGTTTTTTCGATGGAACTCGACAGCGGCATCCTCGTGTTAGATTTGCTAAAGTACATCTGTATAATAATTACACCAGAAACTGGGGAATATATGCTGTTTGTGCCAGTGTTGAAGCACAGGTAATAATTCTTACTAATTAGATTCTTTTTCCGCCAAAGCCAGCTTGGCTCAGTGGCACAAGATTGTCCTATATGCGGTTAGATGTGGGTTGGATACTGATGTAGGACAAATATGGTTAATTTATCTATCAGGAATTTGGGGAAAAACCTACATGTCACACCTAAAACTTGATTGAGTCACACAATCAATTATAAGAAATTCTCAGAGATATTATTGAATACTTTTTTTGAAAGTAAAGATATTATTGAATACTTGAAAGATTAATATGTGAAATAATAAAATTATTCATAATAAGCTTTCCTAAATAGAATTAAAGTAGGAAATAGTAAACTAATAGAATTAAGAAAAGTAATTCTAATACAAATAGAAAATAATACTAATAAGAGTAAATTCTTAACTCTAATAAGACTCTTAAATAATAAACTAGAAGATAATCCAACAATAAATAAATTCCTATTATAGTTATCCACCACCAATTCTCCTAGAGTGTTTGGGGGGAGGGGTTGGGGTGCACCCAATTTGACGATGTCCTTTTAATTTCCTTGAATCTTGTGATAAGAACCATTGCTTGTTGCTACCTCATGGTCCTAACATATGATCCAGTCATCATTGATATTTATAGTGTCCGGCACCCGAATAGGAATGCTATCATACCAAAATGTAGTGCCATCTCCTTGATATGAGCTTGACTTTGATGAGTAGAAATTG